CTTCTTCTAAGAATCACAATGGGATTTATTGCTGCCTAAAAAGTGGAGACTAAGTGAATAGCAATTTTATAATTTAAAATAAAAGCCAAGCTATTTTCTTAGATTCCTCTCCCTCCAGTAAATTTAGACATGAGGAAGAGTGTTAATTAAAGAAGGAAGACTGGGAGTTTTTTTTTTTAAATGGTTAATTTAAACAGTAGCAATTTTTACTAGTATTTTAAAAATTATCAGCACCATAAGCCATTGCTTATTATTTATACAGCTTTCATAGTTACCAAACAGGTCTCTCATCTTTCCCCTCCCCAAAGTTTCTGTTCTCAGCCATGAATGTGCACTACCTACGTATTTTAAATAACTTGTTCTTTAATTATTATTTTCATTTTCACATGAGTCAGAAACATGAATTTATATCTAGCTTTGCGGGCAATCAAAAACCATAATAAAGTAGTTATCCTAAATCCAGATATTGATACATATTCATGCATATTTACAAGGGCACTTCTCAAATGAATGATCAGAAGATATTTCCACCTGTACTGTAGCATCTGACTATAACAATTTTTGATTGATTAAAAGAAAAACTTATTTGAAAAGTTGGTTAATCATCCACAGATGATAATTTGTTAAATCCAAATGAATAAATATATCAATGGTTAAAGATTTAACTTTCATTGGTAATGTTTTGCTTAAAATTCTTTTAGACATTTTAATAACATGTATAAAGCATCTGCTACCTAATAGTGCCTTCCAAAGGACAAAATTTTAAATATCTTGTAAAAATAACAAAAAGAAAATTTGTAGTCTACTTTATAATAAAGACAGTGTCTTTAGCACATTCATGCTGTTCATAGAGACCTTGTTGAATGTAATTAAGTACCTTTATGTTTTAAATGTAACTAAATCTAAATTGGCAGAAACAAATCTACACTGGCTCTTGAATTGTTTTTTGTCACAACTGAGTGTTGTTACTGAGTATTATTTACATCACAGTGAATATCTTAGTTGGTATCTCGGTTGATCCATTGAGACTCAAAAAAGGTTTTGGTTTTCTCAGTGCTATAATGTTGATGGCAACAGGGGAAAAATGATAGTGGGTCAGTTAGTTCAAGACCAGCTAGCAACCATAATCCAGCTCTCCCACTGCCCCATTGTTAGGAAAAAGTAGTACAGTGCATACAAACAACAAATCAGGCCAAACTGGAAGACAGTTACAAGCTCAGCTCATGTAGGGGTTCAGAAAAAAGGGCAATAAATTACCTAAAGCCCAACCCTTGAATAATGCCCCATGGATGCCAATTAACTCAGTATCTGCAGAGCAATTTGGAAGGTCTTCATGGAAGATCAGAAAAATATGAGATGGGCTTGTATTACAATACTAATGCTCTTTTGCTGAAGTACCAGAAAGATCTCATGGTGAAAAAGGAGTTTCACTATTGAATAACCATAAAAATATATCCCTAGTAAAGTGACTTACTGTATGTATTCAAATGATACTCTTGATTGGTAATTGGTTGGGTCACTTATGAGCTATATAATAAAATATGCTCATAACATAAAACTTTTAAATTCAAGTGCTTTTTACAAAATGAAAGAAGAGTCCTCTGATTAGAAATGAGTACAAATGAGAGTACACATGGAAATTAATTGATTTGCAAATACCTGGTTTTGAGCGGCATGTGTCAGGGTCCGAGTTCCTACCCTGCACCAGACCCTCTGTTCAGACAGCTGCTGCCACTTGATTCCTTCCCCTAGTTCCAATCATTTATTGTCCTTTCCCCAAGATTAACAAATCCTGGTGATGAGGAGCAAACAGGACTTTTTGAGATTCTGTGTCTAGGCACAGTGCCTATTACACAGTAGGTGTATAAAGGAATACTCTTACTGGGAGAAAGAGGTACAAAAACGATGCTTTTAAAGAATGTAGGTATTCAGCAGGTGGAGGACAGGAACTATAGGAAGCAGTTTGTGTGTGCTTGACCAGCTGACAGCAAGACATTTCCTTCTGCATTGTGGCACACTTCCTTCCATGGTAAGAGTTAGGGTTAACAGAGCTGGTTTTACCCACATAGATGGGAATATAAAATATTGCAAGTGCAATACTATTAGTTTTCCAGGGCACAGGGGCACTAAGAAAAGGAACTTGCCAGGTGTGTGTGTGGTGGTGGCGGGGGGGGGAGGAAGGGGAGAGGAAGGGGATGTCCAAAGAGGCTTCATAGGATGAGCCTAACTTTATATATATATATATATATATATATATATATATATATATATATATATATAATTTTTTTTTTTTTACAGAGAGGAAGAGAGAGTTAAAAACATCGATGAGAGAGAATCATCGATCAGCTGCCTCTTGTACACTCCCTACTGGGAATGTACCAGCAACCAAGGTACATGCCCTTGACCAGAATCGAACCTGGGACCTTTCAGTCCTCAAGCCTACGCTCTATCCACTGAGCCAAACTGGTTTTGGCAGATGAGCCTAACTTTCTATGAAGTAATACGGAGATACAACTGCCTGCTTCACATGGCAGATGTAAAGATCAAATCAAAACCAGAAACGAACTCTTCCCAAAGGAACTTACAGTCCAGAATCAGGAGACTAAACAGGCTGCATTCTCAACTCCCTTCTCCTGAGGCCGAAGTAGGATGATGTGACTCACGGTTGACAGGATATAGACTTTCATTTCTCACAACCAGGTCAAGAAAAAAAAAGTGAATTGGAAGCTTAATTTAAAGTCAGGGCCTCTTCTTCGTCTTCTCTTCCCTCTCATGATCCCAAGGGTGGTGTGGGGGGAGAGGAGGCATCCTCTGGGGGAGACCCAGGGAAACAAAGGGTAATTGAGAACCCAGACCGGAAGCTATGTATGTCAACAATGCCCGGGCTAGCCACAGGGGAGATAGGAGAGAGGGGCAAAAAGGGCAAGAGCAACTGGGACTGTGCTAAAAGTGGCTCCAAAGTCCGACCTGGAGGTGGGGTGTTCTAGTGCACACACCGGAGGCAGATATTTCCCAATTTTAAAGTCCAAGCCGCACAATGTGAAAAATGTTGATCCCTGATCATTTGTTCATTTCAGTGTGGAAAAACCACACACACACACACACACACACACACACACACACACACACACACACCAGGAATAAAAAGGATTGCAAAGAGCAAACTGGGCTCGGGGACTTTATGCAATGACTGTGCAAATCAGCGTATCTGTACAGCAGCAGAATTCTGCTCCTTGTAATCTACTACCATGGAGCTGGTAGTATTTTAACTGATCATTTAGACAGCTTTTAGAAACTGTTTGGGGGCAAAATACTTGAGATTGTTTTAGTTCACTGTTGGAAGAATTACTTCATAAAATAGACTTTAAAAGTGTTTTGGGAAAAGCCCTGGTCGATATGGCTCAGCTAGTTGGAGCCCGACCCATACACCAAAAGGTTGTGGGTTTGATTTCTGGTCAGAGCACATTCCTAGGTTGCAGGTTTAGTCTCCAACTTTCTGGTTGGGGCGAATATGGGAGGCAACAAATAGATATTTCTTATTCTCTCTCTCTTTCCTTTCCTCTCTCTAAAAATCAATAAACATTTTTTTAAAGGTCTGGGAATAGACATAATGTTTAAATAGCCAATATATGCAAATCTATGTCAGATGAGTAAATAATTATCTATAAACTGGATATATGCACTGTCTAGAAAATCCACTTTAAAATCAAATCATAATTAATGACAGGTGCCTACTATGATGCCACACAGATTTTTTTAATGCCAGCATATTTTTTTTTGTCAGAGATCAATGTTACATAAACTTGAATATAGTTGCATTTTGAATTGTGAAACAAGTTACAGACAAACCTTATAAGCAGGGTTTTGGTTATTTAACACAGTCAAATTATAATTCCAATTACAGACATTCACATAAGGATATTCTTTAGCTACTGAATAATGGCTATATATTGGTGAGAAAAAGAACTAACAATACTTTCTAGTTATGACATTTATCAATGACAACTTTCAATTAATTAGGTCAAAAACAAGTTGGTCATATTGTGTTCACAAATAAATATATCACTATGCTTGTTATAGGTATATGTGTGTGTATATTTTTCAGATAGCATTGAACCCAAGTTGACTTTAAAAAGAAGTAAATTAGACATTATACCATGCATCATCAGGGTGTCTTTCTATAATGTTTTGATGTCAAATAAAGCTTAAAGTTCTAGTCCATTGGAGTAAGCAGTCTTTGAGTGTGTTTAGCCATGGAAAAATGGGTTACCACCAAAAAACTGGGGTACAGAGGGACAGAGTGTGCCTCAGCCGCTTATTTTCCAGTAACTTTTAGACCCATGTTTCTATTATAAACTGAATTCAGGGAGAGCACAAGGGGGAGCTCTAAGCTTCCCAGCCTCACCGAAGGGCGATCCCTCTCCCAGCCACGGCACTGAAGTGTTCCAATCACAGGGCTTCATTCCTGTCCATCTCCGCCCCCTCCCCTGCATAACTAACTTCTGGATGAACTGCTAAGAGAATCACACTCTACTCTTTCTCATCCCGCCCTGCCTTCCCCTACCCTCCTTGGAGGTGGGAAAGGGGGACAAGGAAAAGGAGAGTCCCTACTGAGTGAGGAGACAACGCAAGTTGGGTGACAGGACGAGAAAACCAACAACTAATGATATTAAATCAAAAGGGAATTTGTTGTAACAAAAAGAACACCATAAAGAGTAGTCAGTCTTATAATCTAAAAAAGTTCAAGAGTAAGACAGATGGTGACCTAAGACAGAAGAACCTGAAGCAATAATAATAATAATTAATAATAATAATAATAATAATAAAAGGCAATGATATTCCCAGCCAGAATTCCATTTTACTTTTGCTTCCAGAAGAATAAAACTAGTTGTGCCTGTTCCTAAGGCTGCAAACGAGGCGGAAAGTGTCCACGAGCTTTATTTACACGCTCATGTCTTCAACAAGAACAGAACTGTAACTGCATGCAATTTGTTGCGTTTTCACAAGTTCAGCAGACTGTCGTCCAAAAATCTGGTTGGATCAAGGTTTTCTTCTCCCGCTGTAAGAACAAAATATATAAAAAATGAACATACTTTCCATGGTTTAATAATAATAAAAAGAGAACCCATAATCTCCTAAATTAGGCTAACTCATGCACTCTGCTACTGAAATTTAAAAAAAAAAAAAAAAAAAAAAGAGAGAGAGAGAGGATTTGATTGATTTAGTTTTAATTTTTTCCCCTCAGTGTGAAGGTTGCACCTCATGTTGGCCTAGAAGAAGCTGTCTAACATAGGGAAAAGCACACAGGCTTAGAATGAGAACTGTCCTGTATCTATTAGGGTGAACCATAAGAAACCGCTGCGTTTGTAAGTTTAAGAAAAATTGGCTTTCAGCAATTTCATTGGCTCAGCCTTTAATAGCGAGCAATTGGACTTGTGATTATTTAAAATTCTTTAGGCCTCCAGTTTTTCAACTATAGAATAATAAAGTTGGACTGTGAGCTCTTTCAATTCTAAAAGAAATAAAGGTTACAAAAGGCTATGGGCTGGGTAATTCATATGAAATTCCCCAGTCTTTCTAAGGAAATAGTTTTATGTTCTTAGTACTCACTTTAATAAGAAATATACTAGCCTTTAAATAGTCAACATTCTGTGAATTTGGGGGGGGGAAGGGGGGAGAGGAGGGCAAATATTAATTTTTTTTTAAAACACCTGAATTCATAAAGGCAACTTTGTTGCACTCAACACAGAATCCCAAAAGTAATCAAAGCTACTCTGTCCTGCAGCTGAAAGAGGTCACTATGTTAGTACCTTCTTGTGGTTTCTGAAAGGAAGCCACTAGCAGAGCCGCTGCCTCTGGGAGAGTTAGGAATCGGGCATTTGGACTTCGTCTTTCTGGAGACACAAAAATGTATAAAGATCCCATTAGTATTTAACTACTCATAGATTAATCCTACCGCATTATGCTATAACACTAGAAAAACCTCTATGAGACAGATTTGTGATCCCTTAGCAAAGGGTCCTTACGCAGAAGACTGATTATTATAAATTGAAATATTTCACACTTCCCGTGGACATTACTTACAATTGGTTATGTTGTATATTGCAGGGGATGGAAGAGAAGGCAAGCTATACATGACACAGAACTTTATGAAAGCAAGGAGGATGAAGGGAAGGAGCCCATGAGAAATGTCTCCCTTCGGAGCCTAATAGGGGATGTCTGGGCAGAAAGGCAGACACGTGACTCTGCTGGAAGCCTGGACAACCTCTTCTCTCATTCCTTCCGCAGCAACTTGAGATCACCCACATCCTAGGCCACGTGTGAGCCAATTATTTGATGGAAAGAATGCCTATCTGCTAAATGTTCAAAATTATGTCAAGTCCAAGTTGACAGAAGACAAAACATCCTGATTCAACACAAACTGTTATTTTTAATTTGGGAGCAAATGAAGTCAGAAAACATAGCTTACCCTGGTAAAGAAAATAAGCTTAATTACACTGCAATATTGAAAAAGGTAAATGAATGTTTGTTAAGCATCTACAGGTGGTGAACACAGAGTTTGTTTTTCAAAATAAATATACTTTTAAAATTTCCTTTTTTTGAGAGAGAGAGAGAGAGAGAGAGAGAGAGAGAGAGAGAGAGAAGCACGACACACATGGATTTGAGACCCAGTTGGGTCAAACTGCAACCCAGGTAGGTGTCCTTGACCAGGAATGAACCCAGACCCTTCTGTGCACCGGCCGACACTCTAACCATTGAACCATACTGGCCAGGGCAAAGTAAATATACTTTTTAATTTTAGCATTTCAGTCTTTAAATCTTACCAAAACTCGTTGTATTTTTATGGTCCAGTAACATGGAAAGGGTTATCATGAAAAGAAAAATGGTCCCTATAGCCTCCGTTTAACAGTTTCTGGTTTGGAACATTTGATAGCTCTTTCTAGTAACACAAGAGGCATAGATTTGAAGTTTCTAGGTAAATTACTATTTTAACAACAACAACAGCAACAACACAATGTTTAAGAGGAAACTGTAGGAAGGTCCTGTCACAGCGGGGAAGCACATTTTGGGAGAAGCTGTATAGTTTCCTATCCCTCCTCACCCTGCGGAGCTGAAGCCCGGGCCTTGGGTAAGGCTTTCTGCGCTCCGGGGTGGCCAGAGCCACCCCCCAGCCCCCAGCAGACTCCAGGGAGGGCGGGGCAGCCCGGCCGGGCGGGGCGCCGTGAGCCCGAGCTCTGCGCTCCGCCCCTGGGGCTGGGCCAGGGGCTCCCCCGCGGCCCTGCGGCCACTCCCCGGGGGGGAGGGGGGCGGCGCCCGGTCCGCTGCTGCAGCTCCCGGTCCCTCCCTCCCACTCACCCGGCTGCGGCCGCTCCGACTGCTCCTTCTTCAGACTCTGGTCTGCGATGAAGCGGCGGCCCTCTGCGGGGAGACGGCGCTCAGCGCTGTCCGGCCCGTCCGGTTCGTCCGGCCCGGGGCGATCGGGGTGATGGGGTGAACCACAGCCGCCCCTCGGGCCGGAGGGAAGCCCCGGGGCCGTCCTGTGCTGGGCTGCGGGGTGTGGGGCGCTCGGCGGGCCACCCCGGGCTGAGCCAGAACAGAGAGACCCGGGAAGGTCCCGCGCCCCTGCCCGCCCCGCGCTCCCCTGTCCGCCGCCGTGAGTGGCCTGGAGCGCCGGTCCGGCTCACCAGCCAGTGCGGTGTTCCCCAGGCAGCCGAGAGCCAGCAATCATTATTAGGGTCAGGGTTTCAGAGTCTTCCCCGGCCAAGAGCGGTCTCCCCCCACCCACCCACCCACCCTCCCATACACACACACACACACACACACACACACACACACACACACACACACACACACACACTGTCATCCCTTTCCCTTCATTAACTGAGACCGGGATGGCCTTGAGCTCCATTCCTGAAGGTAACAAACTTGACATTCTGCAGCTCTCTATCTATCCCATGGACCCATGCAGCGCCCCCACACCCCAAGGAAGAGCAAAGCATTTGGAACGTACGTGCGCCCTTCAGGTAAAGCATAGCTTGAGGAGTCCAGTTCCTTCTCTCCAAGAGTCTCTGCAACCCGAAAAGAGAAAAGCAGTTCATAAGACATAGCTGTGCAGCCCTCTACGGGGGGGTGGGGGGGGGAAGGAAAGAGGGTGAAGAAACAGAAAAAAGAAAAATAGGAGAGAGATTCGAAGAGAAAATAAAACCATTCAGGAGCTTAATTTTCTTTCTATCTTTCTGTTGCGTTTGCTTACCTGCGGTGCACTGCTGGAATCTCCCATGAGGGAGAACACCAGGAAAAGAGCCAGGGTTGGTGCTGCCAGACCTCTGAGTCCCTACAAGAAACCACGAATCAAAGAAAGTCATTTCTGTGCTTGTAGGACCTCCTGATTTATTTCGTGACCCCCGGACAGTTACCAACCCCTTACTTTTTGCTGTGTTCTCTAAAAATACTCAGAATGGGGTGAGGGGTCCTCAGTCTGCCTTTTAATCCACGAGCATTCTCTCTCTCTCTTTTTTAAAAAAATATAATTTCATTATTTAATCCAAATGATAAATGTGTGAATAAGTGAAATTTCTTCTTAGTAATATCAAATAACTAATATGTTAAGGCACATTATTTAAATATCTTCTAAAATGCTTATTAAGTATACAATGATAGGTAAACTGCTCTGAAGCATTTTATAAAACAGTTTAAAAGTTAAGTAAAGCCATTACTTGCCTTCATGCTCTGCTCCTTTCCAGAACCTGCGGTAACTATAGCTTTACCTGTGAGCTTTCCAATCTTGTTCTGAAGGGGAGGCTTTTAAAACCTTAGCATCAAGGACCCCCCACCCTCACCCCCCTTGAAGCTTCAGTAGAGTTAGGGAGTCCCCAGGGACTTCATGTCAGTCTTCAAGAGTGAGAGGATCTGATGACTCCTCCAGGAAGATTCAATTGCAGGAAGTAGAGAAATGATTGATGGGTGATGTGTTTGGTACTGACCACATTAACTGAGAGATATTCTAAAGCATCAGCCTTATTGCCTTTGTTTTTCCCACTAACTTTCCAGCATATCATCATCATCACAGTCATCATCATCATCATCATTTTCTTCTTCTTTATCGTCATCATCAAAGAAAATTATTAATAACTTTTGGCACAAGCAAACCTAAATGAATAAAGTAAGGAAACTTGTTTGGGTAACTAGCCACAAGCTATCACTGATGACGCATGATGAATCACTTGGGCAGAAATGAAAAGGTTAAGGGATCTCAATGGAATTTGACATCAGTTATTCATTTTCTCGAATGCCTGCGATGCATTTAGATATTCCTCCTTTTAGTACAAAAGACATAGCCAGGCATTAAAGAAACATGGTCTCACCAAAACTGGTTTGGATCGGTGGATAGAGCATCAGCTTGCAGACTGAAGGGTCCTGAGTTCGATTCCAGTCAAGGACATGTACCTTGGTTGCGGGCTCATCCCCAGTAGGAGGTGTGCAGGAGGCAGCTGATCGATGCTTCTAACTCTCAGTCTCTCTCCATTTCTCTCTGAAAAACCAATAAATATATATATATATATATTTTTAAAAAGAGACACGGACTCTGCTTTTAATCAAGCTTACCTTCTAGTCAGGGGAGAAATACTCTAAACTAGTAAATAGGTAAACAAGGCAATTACAAGATGTTTTAAATGCATTATAAAGTAAAAGTAAGCAACATGTTGGAGTAAAGTAAGTGGTAGGAAGGTAAAATAAAGGGAGGGGTCTGGAAGGTTAAGGTGGAATCAGAGATGGGATAAGTTGGAGTGAGAATTAGTTTTATATGCATAAGAAAGTAAAGCAAAATTTTGGGATGGCAAAGAACTAGGCTTGCTTGAGGAACAGGAAGGAAACCGATGGAGTGAAAGTTGTGGGTATAATGGCATAGCACTTTGAAATGAGGTTGGAGGTAGAAAATATAGAGCTTCGTGGGATATGAGAGTATGACAAAAATAAATCAAGGGTGATTCTTGTTTCTATGGCTTAAACACTGGGTGAATGAAGAAACCATATATTGAAGTTGGAGAGACTTCTTAAGGAAAGCAGTTCAATGAGGGAACTTAAGAACTGTCTTTTGGGCATATTGAAATTAAAATGTATGTTAGACATCCAAGTACAAGTGGGAAGTAGGCAACTGGAAATGCAAAACTTTATAGAGTTCAGCAAAGTGGTCATTAGCCTATCGATATTTTTCTGAAGGCAGGACTGATCAGATTTCAGAATTTTAAGAATTCTATGAATTTTAAGGCAGGAAAAAGATTGGGATTGAATGATAACACTTAGGGAGTGAATGGAGTTAAAGAAGAGAGGCAGAGATAGAGCAATGAAAATAAATATGCAGAGGATGAGCAGAGGGAGAGTCGGCAAGGAAGTTGAGGTGAAGCAATTGGAAAGAAAGGAGAAATTCCAGGAGACAATGGAATCCAGGAAACTACCCATTGTGTTAAAGTAGATAAGAGCTGAGAAGTGTATACTGGATTTGTTTTTGAGTACATAAACTAGATTGGATTGGGATGAAAGTGAATAAGGTATGAGGACATAAAGACAAGTGTAGACAACTCCTTTTAGGAATTTCACTAAAAGGGGGAAAGGAAAAATGAATCTTTTTCTCTAAAGATAAGATACTTGAGTATGGTATCTTATCTCTAAAGATAAGATACTTGAGTATGGACACTTATGGTAGAAGTGTCACTTTTGTGGGGCTCAGTAATATCTGAACCCTTTCACTTTTAGGGAATTCCTAAAATTTAATAAATTATGAATTATGGAAATGGGGCTCTTGGTGGGAAGTGGAGACTTTTTTTTTTTTTTTTCTATTGTAGAGGCTGAAAAGGCCAGATCCTCCCTTTCCCAGCCTATCAGGTAGGATGTGGGCACAGGCTTCACCAATCAGATATACTCACCCTGATGGGCAATCTGGAGATAAGATGAAAGCAAGTGAGGTCTTGAGAAACTGGTGCAGTGGTGGTTGTAGTAAGCTTGAACTTGTGGGGGAAATACTGCCTACAACGCTAATAGCAGATTCCAAGATGGTGTTACAACCTGTAGGGTCTTTATAATGAAATCCTCTTGCTCAAATCAGGCCAGTTTGTTGGTTTCTCTGAGGACAAATAAGAGACTATTTGCAGGACATGTTTGCTGATGGAAATGATCAGTGGAAAGGATAAATGGATGATGCAGAAGAGATCTGCAAAAAAAGAATGCATAGAAGGCAAGAGGATAGGATCCAAAGTATGTGCTAGTATATAGACAGATATTGAATGAGAAGGCAGGGTGGGGCGAGGATGAGCTCCCGACTCCGCCCCGCAGGGCGGAGTTATCCCTAGCCCTCGCCCAACCAATCAGGGTTAGCCGAGGCAGTGACATCACCATCAACCAGAGTAAAACCCCTAGACCGGAAGAAATTCTCGCTCTTCCGCCATGCTGCCGGCGTGAGTGGGAGGGCCCATGCTAGCATGGTAAAGGCTCTTTTGTTTATTGCATCGGACTTGGCTCCCTGGTGGTCCTTGGGGATCACGAAGTCTGGGCGTAACATATGGGGGCTCGTCCGGGATCCCTAGGACCATAAGGAACCCGATTCGGAGAGTCTGACTGGCCGCGGTAGGTGTGTGCGCGCTCTGGAGGGACGTAAAACCCCTCATGGAATTGGTGCCCGAAGACGCCTGGTGGACGCACCATGAAGGCCACGGGCAGGAGGATCAGAAGACGTTCTGACCTCCCTGGAGGGCCCTAGAGGTACCCTCATGGGGAGAGGAATGAATCCTCTCCAGGACAAGGTGAGCGGCGTGAGCCGTTACCTCACCTGCGGAAAGTGAGCCTTTCCCAGGTCTGAGTTTGGTATCTGCGGGAGAAATGGTGCCTGAGGATGAAGCCGGCGAAGTGTGGCCGGCGTGGCGGTGCGGGGCCCCCAGGCGGCGTTGGGCCGGAGGTGGGGCTCCCGCGTGGCTCAGTCTGTGCGGTGGAGCGCGGCTGGGCAGTGGTGGCCTCGCTCGGGGAGCAGGCACCTGGGTCAATTTGCTGGCTGCCTGAGTAGCGTGGCTGGGATGGCCAAAGCAGCCTCGCTCTGGGGGCCTGGGCTGGCGTGGAGGCCTCGGATCTGTGGCAACATCCTATGGAAAAGAGCTAAAGGGCGAATCTCTGTGCTCAGTAAAGAAAAAAAGGCCAGTTCAAAACGAGTGCGCATAGTTTTGGGCTGTGCTTAAAAACACTTTTCTGGGTACAGAATAAGTTTTAAAAGTGGTGGAGATAACTGGGAGATAAATTAAAACTGGTTTCCCAAGTCATTGTAAGCAGCTTCTGCAATTCCCCACCTTGAGGCGGAAACTAGATGGTAATGGCCATGGCTGGGAGTCTTCAGCTAAAGAATGTGTTCATTTGCATTTGGATGCTATTCCAGTGATCAGGGAGTGGCAGGTGATAACGTGGTGAAGCTGCCAAATGGCCTTGCATACAATGTTTAGCTTCCTTGTCATTGGTATCAGCTAAGCAGGATGTATTAGAAATGTAATGTTATTAATCTAAAAAAATGCCAAATATATTTGACTTGTCAGCTTTAAAAGTTCAAAGTATAAATTGAATTAGGAAAAATTAATTGCAGTAACTAGATGCCTAGAATATGACAGGCTAAACTGTATTATGTGTTAAGAATAAGCAATAATGATCAAATATCTCAAGGATTGATTTATTTTCATTTGTCAGATGAAAAAGTATGTAATGCTTACACTTAAAAAATTGTTTTAAGTAATTGATGCAGTATTTTATAAGTCAGTTTTTCTGAACATATGAAACTTTTATATTTGTAACATATGAAACTTTTATATTTGATCTATTTTGTTTTGCTTTGCATTGTAAGTTTGAATTTGGGCTTGTACCTGCATCTTGTATTTTGTTTAAACTTTGGGAATCATTTTTGGTTTCAGTCATGTGCGTAGCTTTAAGTAGACTTCATCACAAAGGTTTATAATTTATTTAGAATTGTGTTAAAACAATTATTTGTATGATTTAACTCCCCACGACTGCTTGGACAATTTTCACCAATGTTCTGCAGGGGGGAGTAGAGGAGGCTTAGAAATGCAGATAGATCTGTACCTGTAGGAAAAATGTGGCATTTTAAATTTCAAGCGGCTGGAGGCCTGGGAACAGAGTACTGGACCTGCTCCCTCCTCCCTTGCCTTTAAAATTTGAGGCATAGTTATATAGAAAGAAAATTTAAAAATTGATTTGAAATTAAAAGGCCAGCAACTAATAGGAAGGAATTAGTATGTTTATTGTAGAAAGCAGGGAGCATCCTTGGACATCGAAGAAGGACTATGGACCTAAGAAGGAACATGTACTGAAGGAAAGCGGCCCCTGAACTGGACAATGGGCCTTTGAGGAGCTAAAAGAGGCTCTCATCTCAGCAGCTGCCCTAGCCTTGCCAGACGTCGTGAAGCCTTTTCACCTCTACGGGAGTGAGGTAAGAGGCTTTGCCAAAGGGGTTCTCACTCAGACTCTAGGTCCCTGGAAGAGACCTGTTGCCTATCTGTCTAAGAGACTGGACCCTGTGGCAGTGGGGTAGCCAGCGTGCTTCCAGGCAATGGCCACCACAGCATTGCTGGTGAAGGAGAGAGATAAGCAGACTCTGGGCCAGGAGCTCAACTGGATGGGCCAGGCTTTTCTCCTGGACCAGCCCTGTGTCCGGATTCACAAGACTGTGGCCATCAACC